TCTGAGTTCTAATCAATTTATTGCCGATTATTATTTTCTTAATTTAACGCAAGCTATGGCTTATTTCCGGCGATAATTCTGCAAGTTTTCGTACCTACATTTTTCTTCGGGCTTCTTAAAGATTCTGTTTAAAAAAATAATTGTGTATTCGTCTTTTTACGTTACACATAATTTGCCTACATTTACGTTTCATTCATTTATCTCTTTAAGTAACAAACGACAGATGATAAAAAGTATGATTTTATTTGTTACGTCTTGTTTATTTGCTATTATTATACGCGGTTTCCTGCGATGCATGGTGACCTACTTGTTTGGAGTTTCGTAGTACAAGCGTAGCGCGTAGCCACCGCTAGTGCGGGAACTCGGCTGGCAAACTTGCGCTCTGATTGGTCGCGGTTTTTCGTTAATATGTCGGTAACGAAGCCTCAGTTTACATTGTTGTTAAGGAAAAAGTTGTTCCAATTCACCCCCCGAGTGCCCCATTTCCGGGTCGGAGGACATTTTTGGGACACCCTGTATAGATGTTACCGATGTACCAACAGGCGAACAGTTAGCAGATCCATTTACAAAAGCATTACGTAGACAAAAATTTGTTAATTTAATGTGTCAGATCGGTATGAAAGATGAATAGATTGAGTGATTATTCATGTATCTATACTTATAGAATTCTGTATAGAGATGACGAATGAGAAGTATGATAAAATATGAATTGAGTGGGAGTGTTAGAAATATGCAAATCATATTTTGGCGCCGCTGAATGTCAGGTAAATAAGGTAGTCAGTTACCTGACCGACTGATTGTAGTAAAAACATGCGATGTAACGGAGCCTCGTGTTTCGAAGATAGAGAACTCCGAACTGTCGTTCAAATCGGAGCGTGCAAGATTGTGTCTGTGTCTTGCGCCTGTACTCTCGTTCGTCTATTAAATATATATCGCTTTTGTTCTTAATTCTCTGTGCCCACTAATACCTCCTTGATTACTCAATCGTCTGTGTTCGTTATACGCGTAATATTTACCACTATAACAACATGTTTACAGGAAAAAAAGGCACCTAGTCTTTAGAGCTATTCTTCGGTGATTTAATTTTTAAAATTCATTTCATTTGAAGTCTATATGATAGTACAACTTTCAAAGAGTAAAAAATATCCGCGCTGCTTGCTGTCCCATATGAGAAATTTAACTTTTCCGGAGACGTGTTTGGGATAAATTAATGGCATTTTGTAAAAACTAAGAAATATTTAGTGCTGAAATTTGGCATACTTTTTTATCGTAATGGATGTCATATTCTCCTAAAGTTTTGAAGCTCTATGTTCAAATCCTTCCGAGTATTTAACAATTAACAAAAGATCTTATTTTGACAGTTTTAATTCTTTTGCAACTGAACATGTAAAGCGATTTTAACGTACTATATCTCATTTTGTAGGTAATAAAAATATCTATGTTTTATTTGACTCTTTTTTTTTCTCTGAAATCATTATATTTTCTTCTGCGCGCGAAAAGCATGTTTTTCACACACTTTCAAATTTTTCTATCAATGTTCCCCACAACATTTCACGAGTTTCCAACATATACATTTCATTTCTAATGAACTTCCGAACTATTTTGCATAAAAAAATAGCTAAATAGCAAAACCCTCTTCGAATACAAAAAGTATCTTTATTCGTTGAATAAATTCTCATCGAATAAACTTGTCCATTCAATGTTCTTTTTGCGTCCTTTTTACGAAATATATGTGTACCTCTATAATACCCGTATCAATTATGTCAATAAAAGATAAATAACTATCATTTCAAACAGCAGATTTGCATAGTATTCCATGTTTTTTGTATATAGAATACCCGGAATATATGTTGTGTCATTTTTACAATTTGTTTCTCGGGAACACCAGTTCTAGTATTTCGTATGTAATTCCATTGTACGAATAGAAAAGGTTTATCGTTGCACACGTTATTACGTAAGTATGTATTGTTTTATTCTCGAATCTCTTTCGGTCGCGCCATTCTTTTCCTATGTTCAGCGAGAATCGAAATCTCGCCACGAGCCGTAGGCCTAGGCCTGCCTAGGCCGTAGGTATTCATGTGGCAACATGTGGGAACATGCGGCAACAGCGTAACAAAACAATCGATACGATCCAGCACGTGTTGCGAGATTACATTTACCGATTCCCTGTTTTATCGATGCTCGATGGCAACATAGCTAAAGTGACAGACAAATACCATAAGCGCCCATAGCGGAGAATCCTTGAACTAACCACTGTATATTTCTGAGTCTGGACTCGTCAAATCGTAGAATCCAACTTACGCCTTCCACGAGTGATAAATTAACAAAAATCGCATTTCTACGATAGTGTGACAGTGGTGTACAGGGTGTTATGGTCAGTTTGTGACGAGAAAACGACTAAATCGTGTGATATTTGACAAAATGTGACTTGAACAGCCATCTTGTGTACTTCATCGGCGTCTGTCACAATCGCACAATTTCTAAAATTCTAATTCTTTCAACGTATGGTGTTTATTGGTGTTTCTAAGGACCAGACCACCCTGTAGTGAAGTCTATCCCTGAGTACTATACACGTGAAAACTTCATTTGTCCAATTATCGAGGCAGAAGTTAGATTCTACGAAATCGAATGTCTCTCTCGTGCATTGCGTATACATACACTAAAAACCAAATAAGACCATAACTGTGAAATGACGAATTTCGGTCTTGTTTACGCATATTCCTCTCGGTTACCTTAGTTACCAACGTCTTAAACAATTGAGCATCATTATGCCTCGTGTAGCATCATACATCGAGTGACTGTGAAGTACAAACGTGCCAATTCATAAGTATTCATGCTTGAGAAATACTTTATTATGTCACCCGGTGTGTGACAAATTGTATCGTCCCTGTTACAGAAAGCGAGAAAGTGGGGAAACCAGGGGTTCGAGAGACCTCTCCTGCTCATTCGAGATGCGCGAAACAGTTATTCTCTTATTTGGCGTTTAGTGTACACGGTTCCGTTATTCCGTGAATGCACGGATACAGCTCACGGTCCACGGAGTCTCCCCCCGTAAAAAAGAATGAAGTTTTTCGAGAAGATACTTTGTGCAAATCCGAGTAGAACTCATAACAAATTGTGCTAGAAAATACGGATAGATACCATCAAAATTTTTACATGCATATCCGGATTGAAACTGACAGAAAATATTTTTCATTTGTTTCAATCTGCATTTTACGGGAAGAACACCGTATCAAACCGGATTAAAAATTATTTAATGCGGTTATAACTGGCAGTTGCAGCAGGGTATACATGCATATTGTACTTTAAAAATGAAAAATTTAATTTTGTATTACTTTAATTTTTAATTTTAAAGAAACAGTTAAAAAATTATATAAATTTATTTCATCGTTTATAAAACTGTGCGTGTCCAATCATTGTCACATATAAACGTTAACAAACTATTTTAAACATTAATTATTTAAGTAAGCAAATATTGACATATTATAAAAGTATTTTCGCATGCTTTAAAGTTTAAACCAAAACAAAATGTCTGGCACCACTGGTACATTTTAAGAAACTGAAGTGTATTAATGTATACAAATGTAGTACATTCACTTTATATTATCAATTTTTCACATTTGTTTGACTTTGCATTTACAATTGAAGTTTATTCACTTAAGTTAACATACATTAGCCCTGGAACTATACACTATTAAAAAAGTAGCTCATTCGCATAAAAAATTATACTCAATACTATTTTGTACGCTACATACCAAAAGTAATACTAAATATTTTTATCGTACATTATATCGTTATATTAAAAAAATATTTTATTTCAATACAAGAGTTTGATAAAACTACAGCATGATTTGAAAGCACAAAAATGGTTGTACCATTCCAGGGTTGTTGTGTTTGCATATCTTCAAATGAAAGCACCATATTCAAAACGCGATTCATACATTGGCAATGCTTACTTAAAGAAAATGTTTCTTTTCACGTTTCCTAAATTTTATCAATTTGATTTTATACAAATCGTATAACACAAAATTATTTAATAATAAAAATAAGTTGCCTATATTTTTTATAATTACTTTTACGTTACACAATAGTAATTAATAAAAATTAATTTAGTTCTCTTCATGTTTAATAATTAAGTAAATAAAGATACCTACCTCTAAAATAATACATTTTATTTTATTCTACTCTTCTAATTTCTATAATCCCTTTCGCATACTAAAATAAAATCCACTTGGCATTTGACAAATTCTTCATTTGTTTCATACTTTCGCAATGTTAATTGTGTCAATAAAAAATGTAAATTTTGCACAATACAAATGATTTCATACATACTACTTTCATGTAAAAAACACCGATATGTGTCATGTGTACATATATAACAATACATTATGTGAAAACAGAAATTTATAAAGTAAATATGTCGACATTTACTTGAAAACTGAAACATAATCTAATCATGCATGGTACAGCAGAAATATTGACTGTAAATATATCACATTATTTAAGTAATTCATTATAAGGTCTGTAAAAAATTTGATATAAAATTAATAATAACATAATTGAAAATGATTAAAAAGTGTTAATTGGACATTTGATCTATTAATATAGTTTTCTGTATAAAAGATACACTATTTGACTCTGTAGTAAAGTATGAAATTCAAAATATATAATAAAATATTGTTTTAAACATAGGAACTTAGAATTAAGAATGCATGTAATGATAACGAACAATTTTTTCAACAATTGCAACGAACGTTTCGAATAAATTATAATGTGATTTCTGTATGCAACAGTATGCTTTTAAATTAAATTTCTACACCAGAACAGATAATTTTATGCTGTGTATAGTATAAAATTATGCTATACAAAGCCTATGAAGCATAGTATTATAATATAGTTCATATCAGCAGATCACGTGGCTGTATGAAAATACCACTAAATTTTTTTAAAGAGATTGCACATTATTTTTGGTCAGAAAGCTACTCTGAGGAAATGTGTTATCATTTAGACTGCAAATTTTCTTCTTCATCGTCGCTGTAGTCATCGCTCAAATAATAATTACTTTGTGAAAATTCGAAACGGCCAGTCTTTTTTGGTGGTGGACTGTAAAGTAAAAAAAATACATTAATGAAATATATTTCCCTTTACCATTTACCATATATATATATACATATACAGGGTGTTAATTTTAACTCGAGCACCTAAATTATTTCCGGTACTATTGAAAGTAAGAAAAAATGTCTAAATAGGATGTACATGGTTTTAAGGCGTGCATCTGATGGTGATAAAATGTTTTTTACTTCTTATTACGTTTATTTACTTCTGCGTTCTTCAAACTGAAGCTGAGTTCTTCGTCTTCAAGGTCACTTTAGGCGTTTAAAAAATACATGTTAATTTGTAAAAAAAATACGATGACCTTGAAAAACCCGTTAAAATGACCTACACACGATTTTTTTTGTCACCATCAGATGCACGCCTTAAAACCATGTACATCCTATTTACTCATTTCTTACTTTCAATAGTAGCGAAAATAATTTAGGTGCTCGAGTTAAAATTAACACCCTGTATATATGCACAGTATTGTACAGGGTGATCGTTCCGCTGAAAGGGTCGAAAGGCAAACCGCCTACAGGTCGATTTACATTATACGGCACAGACCGTCGTGTACCGTCACCGGCACGGACCGTCACCGGCACGGACCGTCACCAGCACGAAATTTCTATGCACATGCCGCCACTGTTTCGCAACAGTGTAAACAAATTCGTGAAGAGGAACATGATGACTTAAATTCCACCTAATTTCACGTGGACTACAACATATTTCATTTTGAACAAAATCCCTGGCAACGAGTTCAAAAAGTGATCGATTGGGCGTGGAATGACCCGAAACTTTTTTCCGTATTTTCAATAGTTAAAGAAATAACAGCGTGTATACACTTAAACCAGGCATACTGTATATAAAACTATATATATATATAGTTTTATATAAGTACAATGAAATATTTCAGACAAAACTACAAAAATTTCAAAACATCGAAATAAACTATTTAAAATATTTATACCAAAAGTGTGTCAACTCACAGTTGAGAGTTTAATTGATTATGTAACGATTAGTCATTGAAAGTAGTTATTTATTCATCTGTTGGGTACGAACTCGTGGAATTAAGTACAACATTTTAAAGTCTAATAAAAGGTTTATTCTGCTACATGTTATGAAGGTACACAAGATTCTAAGCTTCTCATTTTTCGGAGTAGAGCTATGCAGGATGTTTCTAGTAATTGGGGCGGGCTACAACTCTGTTCTAATATGTGAAGTTAGAAAAAAAATCGTAGAGGAAAATGTTGCATTGCTTAACACGCACTATCATATTACTATAGATACATATATCTTTCTTCACAGATACACTGGTGCAGTTGCGAAGTATAATTGCCCTTTATTTAAATGGAACTCTACAATTTTTTTCCATAGTTTTATTTCCCCTGTCATTTTACGTATAAAAGGTATAAGGCTAAGCCATTAAAAACTCGACACTTTTTGAGATACAATATTTTACCTTTTTTCAAAATTCGCTGTTATGTGAAATACTATGTTAAATTGGAATCAGTATGTGGCTATTATGTTTACTAAATTGCCATTGTGTTTAAAAGAAAGAAATAGAATGAAATAGAAAAGTAATGACGTGGCATGAACTATAGAAGTAGCAAGGGTTCTTTTCACTTATTGTTAGTGACTAAATGCTACTGACTAATCGCAATGTTCAGGCGTTTTCCGCAGTTCACGTCCTAACTGGCTGGCAGGTAACAAATTTAGTACAAAAACTTCTCGCGACCGCCAAGAATTGCAGCATTCAACGTTTGTTTATTGTCAGCGACCGAAACGAACCTTGTCCAATCACGCCCGAAAATACAGGTGACTCTCAGTTTTTTACATATTGATGTAGGAACGGTAGTAGCTGCCGGAATGCGATACATTGTCGCGCGAAGGACGGAGTTCGGCGAAGACGGTCGAAGCGACGCGGTTTTCGGCGATCGGACAGTCGTTAAGCAGCATGCGTAGAGCACAGTCGTATAAATATAACATTCTGTATTCCTTTATATTGACATTTTATTATATTGCTTATTTTCATTACACTGGTGTGTCCGAAGTTGTTGCATTTGTGGAACCCCGAATTTCCTACATACATGCATGAGAAAGTGATCATGGGGAATCGTCTTGGAATGAGTGACAGAGAGGCTGTGGACTACATTATTGAGGGAATCCCAGACTTATCGTTAAGGAATATCGCTCGTGCTCAAAGGCTGAACACGAAGACGTCATTGATGGAGGCGTTCGAGAAGGTGTCGTTGTATGGAAAATTCTTGTCGACGATGTATTCATATGCGAGAACCAAAGAGAATACGCTTCGACCATGGAAAACAGAAGAAACTACGTATCGATCATAGAGAGCAGAAGAAACTACGTATCGACCATGGAGGACAGAGGAGAGGATGTTTCAACCACCGAGGGTAGAAGAAAGGATGTACCGCCCTATCGAGACCCGATGATAGAGCGTATGGACCGCTGCGAGTGGAAGAGATACCATTGCGACCACCGAGGGAGAACGAGAGGTTTACGTCACCGAAAGTCGAAAGAGGCGAGAGAAGGGAAGTACCCAGAAATCCTAATCGTTGTTTTAATTGCGGTATGGAAAGTCACTATAGCGCGAATTGTCCTTTGAAACACCGCGGCGCGAAATGTTTTAAGTGTCAAGCGTTTGGTCATGTAGCAGCGAATTGTCCAAAGAAAAGACTATACAAGTCCTAAGAAAGTAAGGATGAATGGGGAGAGTCTGACGGCGCTAGTTGATACCGGTAGCGATTTGTCGGTAATGCGTGCGGAACAGTACGTGAAAATAGGGTCGCCAGCGTTAATACGACGAGAAATTAAATTTTGCAGAATTGAATCCCAAAATAACAAGACGATAGGCAAGTTCAACGCACAAATAGAAATCGATGGTAATCTATATCCAATTGAGATCTGGGTAATATCCGATACGTTGATGCAGCATGATCTGATAATTGGCACCGATTTTTTAAATACAGTCGAAATAAATATCAAGAGAGGCGAAATTTCTATTCGTAGCGTTGTAAGAGAACATCAGTTACAAAGCAATCTATCCGAAATTTACAAAATTGATTGTATAGATGAAGCAAATGAGATTGATTTGTCAAATATTTCAAATATCAAACATAGAGGGATCATAAACGATTTGTTACAAAATTATGAATTGGTTAAGACACGAGAAACGGGTGTGAAAATGTCTATAATACTTAAGGATGACGAAACAGATTATCAGAGGGCTAGACGCTTATCTCCTTTTGAGAAGGGAGAAATAGATAAACATATAAAGCATTGGCTTGCTGACGGTATTGTGCAGCCTTCCTTTTCTGACTACGCTAGTCCAGTGGTACTCGTTAAAAAGAAAGATGATACAACCAGGCTCTGTATAGATTATAGGAAGCTAAATACGAAAATAATTAAAGACCGATACCCATTGCCATTGATCGATGATTAATTGGATGCCTTACAAGGTTCACGAATTTTTAGTACGCTAGATTTAAAGAATGGATTCTTTCATGTGCCTATAAAGGGTGAGGCACTAACTATTGCCACCTAGAATAACTCCGATGTATGAAGTATGATAGTAGTAGAAAAGTTTTTGAAACAAAAGTTGCATGGGACAACGGGGGCTGTTATATGACGTTAGTTTTTTGTTGCTAGCTGGAGTCGCTTCAGAGATTTGAAGGTCAACTTTGTTTTTCTAGATAGAATGTTATGTTTCGGTACTTATTTTCTGATAGCGGATATCGAGACGAATCCAATGATGTACAACATTAAGGTCTTTGAAGGTCAACGAAGGTCATTTAAGGCAAAAAGGTGAAATGGACTTACATTTACAGAAGGTATTCAAAGTGATTACCATTGGTACTATTTCTTATCACTTCGGCACTTATCGAATCACATGCTCTAACAATTCTCTCTCGCATATCGTGCAAATACAGTAAATATTTACTAAATACGGCGTATTTATCAAACCTGACAATGTAAACACTGTTCGGACGATATCGCAAGACAACAATAACAGCGGTGTACGAAGAACGTAACAAGTAATAAGAGCGGTAAGACTAGTATCATCGAATCAAGCGAATGTAAATGATGTATTCTTTCGAAGAACAAACCGATATGCTTCTCATGTACGGAGAATGCCAGCAAAATTCAGTGAGATCTAGAGACTTATACGCTGAAAGATATCCTCAACGTTCTCACCCTACACGCCGTACATTTAAATATTTGTACGATAAATTGAGAACAACTGGATCTTGAACCCATCGGAAAAATAGCCGGCAAAAGCAAAATCAAAGTTTTCTAGGTTTGGCTAGCTATTTTCGAAAGTTTATCCTAAATTATTCAGTGATCGCACGACCATTGACAAATTTATTAAAATCGAACGTTAACTTCCACTTTGGGGAGAAAGAAAAATTTGCATTTACAAAATTGAAAACTATATTACGTAATGGGCCAGTTTTGAAATTATATAGATTAGAAGCGGAAACAGAATTACATACCGATGCTTCAATGTATGGTTATGGTACAATTTTTTTGCAACGTGATAATAAATTTTATCCGATACACTTTGCAAGCGGAAAAACGACACCAGCAGAATCGAGATATACCAGTTACGAGCTGAAAGTTCTGGCAATAGTTAAAGCCCTACGAAAATTTAGAATATATTTGTTAGGCATACCATTTAAGATAATTACAGATTGTCAGGCGTTTACATTAACAATGCGTAAGAGAGACTTGTGTGTTCGGAATGCGAGATGAGCTCTCTTATTAGAAAAGTTTAATTATAAAATAGAGCATTGTTCAGGAAATAGTCTAAAATACGTAGATGCATTAAGCCGAAATCCGCTTCCAGAGTGTATGTTAACGGATGAATGCGAGGGTAGTATAATTGTGAGAATACATAAAGCGCAGTGTGAGGATGAGGGATTAAAACCGATTTTCGAAGCAGTGAATGAAAAACAATTAAGTAGGTTTGTAGTGCGGAATGGACTTTTGTT